ATCCAAAGGTCGTGCGTTCAGATCCTGACAGAGCCGCATTTTTTTCGAAAAACGACCTCGGCTCCTAAGTCGACCTAGCCTTAAATTGGTACCAGGTCAGTTCCAGCGAAGTAAAGGCGACGGGCGTGATGTTGACTAGGTCATCCCTCGAGTGCCAATTGGTCTATAAGATATAGGTCTAGCCCTATGTGCCCAATACGCATGAAGGTGTGGAAAAAGATCCTTTACCTTTGAGGTTTTAAGGTATGCGGGGCTGCGTGGTCTCGAGGTAAGACATGCGCCTCGAGTCCTAGAGGCCCCGGGTTCAAGCCCCGGTGAAGGCTGGGATGTTTTTCACGCGGACTTCTAGTAATTTCCCTTGGTCTCTGGGTAGTAAGATCGTAAAAATTACTTTAGCAATTTGAAGACGAAAAGAGTAGCTCTAATAGAGCTGCCCGGGCAAAATTGTGAGTTAAAAATCTACCCAGAAAGTATTTTAGGATCCTCACCGGTGCAACAGAGGTCGTGCGCTGCGCTGAAATTCTTCATACTCAGGCTTGATTTAGAAGTAGAGCGGAGCAATTATGGGTTTACACCCGTGTGCCGTGATGTTGATCCGTCGACTAAACTAAACTACCAAACACTCACCGCTATACCATATTGTCAGTTAGATTTTTTCACCAAAGGACCAAAACTCATAATACCAGTTGCAAAACCATCTTTTCATCTTGTCCGATTTCGATTGTCCGCTACACGCAGCAGGAGATGTCCGAGGCTTGGCGTCATGATACAGGTCGGTCCACCCTCTGAGATCATATAGGAGGGGAACCGTTCTATTGATGATCAGTGGACTCCTGCTGTGTTTGCTCCCGCTGTAGAGTTCTTATTTAATTACTGAACCCCAACCGCTAACACATGACCCACTCCAACATGAGCTTACCTGAAGCCTAGATCTTTGATTTTACTTTTGATTACGTCCGATATCTGCTGGACCAGGTTGCTGCAGATCTCGGTACTATACTTCTCTCCGCCGAGGTAGGACTCTAGCACAGATTTCATGACATCTTCGGCTTTCCGTGGCTGGAACGTTTGGCTGGGAGTCGGGCCCAAACGGTATGTGTTCTGCAGCTATTACACAAGACGGCAGAGTCCTTTAGGTAACATATTATTTTGTGATTTTTCAATGCAATCTTACAATGAAATGTAAGGTTAATGATTCTCACAATGAAAACAATAAAACCCCCACGTGGGTTCGATAGAGTAGTGATTAGGGAAGTCATCTGTATGTTGTTTTTTTTTTTTTTCTTGCATTTTCTATATATAACCTTTGTTAAAGGTGGCTTAAATGGAATACTGAATTAAAAAAAAAAAAAAACAATCCGCGGCTGTATGACTTTAAGTAAGAAAAAAGAAAAACGATTCGCTTTCCCCGATCGAGCGGTGCAGCACCGCCAGATTTGGCATTTTTGGCAGGTTTTTTAAGGTGACAGACTTTGGTCACCTGGCGGCTCGGGTGAGGCTCCGTCATGGGAAGCTGCCGATGAAAGGAAGCTAGGGTGGTTTGAGGTCACCTGGCGGCTCAAGTGAGGCTCCGTCATGAGAAGCTGCTGATGAAAGGAAGCTAGGGTGGTTTGAGGTCACCTGGCGGCTCGGGTGAGGCTCCGTCAAGTTAAGCTGCTGATCAAAGGAAGCTAGGGTGATTTGAGGTCACCTGGCGGCTCGGGTGAGGCTCCGTCATGGGAAGCTGCTGATCAAAGGAAGCTAGGGTGGTTTGAGGTCACCTCGGCTCCTGGCGGCTCCGCAGGAGCTGCCGATCTAGGGTGATTGGGTCACCTAGCGGCTTGTGATGCTGCAGATGTGATGCTGCAGATTGAACAGAGCAGTTTAGGGTTTCGGGGACGGGCTGTATGGGAGTGGGAGGCGTTTTAGGGGTTATATATAAGAATAAAAAGAACGAAGGATATTGATTGGCTTGGCAACGGGAGATAGATAGTAGACCTGTTATACAGTAGAAATATTTAAAATAGATAGAATAGGGCCGTATGACACTATAGTCATATTCCACTTAACACGTGCCGTAGATTCTTATGTGACTGGAGAAATTCACCCTGCCAAATCAGCTCCATCTGATACACGTCATTATGTTAGTTAGTTACCGGTACTATACCAGACGATCGATGCATAAGTTTCTCCCCTTCGGGATGCTACCTAAAAGCTTACCATTTAATCCCGATATCAAATATCCTCATCTGGACGGCAGACAAACCAGGAAGATCCCAGGTACCCCGTTCAATACTATACCCAATAAAACATTTCACAGCGAAAATAACCACACATACACACACGTGCGTGCGCGCACACACACAAAAACACGCACACCCACACACATACACACAAAGATTCCTTGTAAATATTTTTTGACCATATTGCATTGTCTTCTACAAAGGGTGTGTACGTAAAGTGTCTGCCAGAAATATTATCAGGAAACAGTATAAAAATTAAACGCAACAGTTTTACCAGACAAACAAAAGAACAAACACAAGAGAACCTAAGAAAAGCTTATAATAATGATAAAATATAGAGAAAACCTTTCACCTGAACCGGCGCTTTGAAGTCGCGAAGTCCAAAACTGAGACCGGAAATACTGCTGCGAGAAAACTGTGACATGCGACGACCACTGAGGCCATACTGGAAACTGGGCCTTGAATCCATCCTAGACATCCGTCTGGTGTTAGGGCCGGATGCCATTCCTTCCACCTCCCGCTGTTTTTTTGGAGAAAAAGAACATACTCTCTTAAATTTTTTAAACTTAAATGTTCTTTCTTCTTCTTCTTCTTCGATCCTTCTGTCAGAAAACTTATATCAGGAGGCCGGTAGCCTTTATGAAAGCTATCGTTATATCCTCTCGTGTACCATAAGTTTTTGTCTTTTTTGGAACAGGCCAGATAATCTCTTACAGGTGACAGTGTAAATGCTCAGCATTTTCGGGTGCCACGCTGCAGGGACACGTCTCCGTACCCTACACCGAAAATTTTGAACATATGTATTAATTCTGTAATAATTTTTGTATCATAATCTTAAAAGTAAAGTAAAGGACCCCTTTTTATGCCATTTTTGGTTTATCTGGCTAGGCCCTAAATTTTATAGACCAAATGTCCCTTGGTGGGTAAAGTCCAGCTTTGTCAGGACCTGAAACCACAACCTTCGGATCCACCGCTACACCACAATGGATCTCTATCGTAGTGTGTTCGCTGTTCATCTCTGAAATCCCTGTTTCTTCAATAATCTTAATCGTTCAATTCTGAAATCACAGTTTCTGCATAATCTTGGTCACGTTTAGCTCTTTTACAAATCTTGGCCCTTACCTTGCTCTATATTAACTATTTGTATCATAATGTTGATCATTCATTTTAGCTCTGTAATTATTTCTTTTAACTCTTCTTCTTCTTCTTGTTCTTCTTGTGTTCTTGTTCTTGTTCTTCTTCTTCTTCTTGTTCTTCTTCTTCTTCTTCTTCTTCTTCTTCTTCTTCTTCTTCTTCTTCTTCTTCTTCTTCTTCTTCTTCTTCTTCTTCTTCGCGTTCACCAGCTGTAAACTGCGGCGGAAAGTTCTGATTGTTCGTCCACTTCTGAATTGCAGTCCTGTTCCAGAACCTGAGTTTTGTGTGTGCATCCGCTTGACAGATCTGACTCATATGTATGCAGACTGCTGGTTCCTTGCCTCTCAGGCAAATGCACTCCGACTTCGAAGGAAGCTCCCAATTAGTCGACTCTTACGACATGCTTTTGGGTAGGCAGTGGGTCTATTCTAGTTTTCCCTATAATAGGGCCCACACGGGGAATTTCTTTCGCTTAAAACTGAACGGTGTTATCAATGGAAGCAGTCAAAATTTCCATTAAAGATTCAACAATAGACACGCTACAGAAGGTATTGGATAATAGAAGGAGACATTAAGGATATGTCTAGAAGCCACGAGTGGACATTGCCAAGACCTGTTGTATTAAATATTACATTGGTACCGCCCAGCTTCCCCCAAAAAGCGTTAGACCATAGCAGTAGCTATTGTGGTTCTAGTAACGATTTCCGGCTCAGGCACACCGTGATTTGGTCGTTCATTCATTCTTGCTGACCCTTTACATAGGTGACATTCTGTTACAGGGGTGTCAAGTTGTATTGTCAACGACGCTCTCACCAGCGATGACCCGTCCTCTGTACGCTATATTACACGATGTGACCGCTTTTAACGACTTCAAAAGATCAAGAACTGGCTCTAACCCTTCTCCCCTCAGGCAATCCTACTGCCTCAGCCTACGTCCCACGAGAGACTGCAACCTACGTCCCTTGGTTTCAGAACTGTTAACATTTTGCGGTGACAACTGAAGTAAATTCACGTCGTACTTCAAGTTCGAAAAGGCTACAATATACCCAATATCGGTCGCTCAGGCCAACGAGTAAAACACAGTGTACCGCTCAGGCCAATATATATAGTAGAACAAAACACAGTGTACCTGGACGATCACAGGACGGGGCGCTAAAACCACTATTGTAACTAATTACTGCCACAGTTGCTTTAGCAAACACAGCTTAACGTGACTCCCCTCTAATTAAATAGAGCCCCGATCCCTTAGCGTGTGAAATGGGTCTGGTAGTCCAAGTTTCAGCTTCATAGCAAACGGGTTGAAATCTTTGCTCCGCTCCTGTGCCAAAAACGCTTTATCACAGTCCCTTGTGGAAAGATTGGGAACTGCTGTTGCTATCTAAACACTCGCATTATATGGTAACCATCCGAAGTGCTAACAAAATCCGAAGTAACTAACACTTAGAAAAGCAGTTCACAGATTGCTTTCGTCAACAGATCTGCAGTTGTCCGCGTGATCCTATCCCCGCAAGCTTACGACAGGCATCGCGCACTGCATGTATTCACACCACCACTGTCACAGTCGAAAAAAATAAAAAACTCCAAATGCAACGTGTCACAGGGTCACGCCATGATGCCTGGGCGACGAAACAGTCTACAAATGGGGCAAAAATGCATCGGCAACCGTCCGGCAGAAGCCGCCCATTTCTATTTTCCCGACACACCCATAGTCGCAGAGAAACAGGTGCATCTCTTTTACTTACCGGAAATACTGACTGCCTCCGCTGACTTTCAAATGTGTCCGCCATTTTGCGTTCTTTGTAGAGAGAATTCAACTGTCGCCTTCTGTGGCTTTAATATATCACTGGTTTAGTTCATATGCCTTTTTTAACCTGTAAAAGATTTATAAATACAAAATTTGGAAAACAGTCCAATCACCAGGTCAAATAAATACAAATCGTTGTGTGAGTTGCAGGTCCCATTTCGAGAACCAAAAGAAAGAAACACTGTCCTTATCTGGCATGTCATAAAAAACATACTTATAGGGGGGTTCCTTTTGAAGTCGGAATGCTTCTGCCCGAGAGGCGAGGCGGGGAAGCAGTAGTCTGCACACAAATAAGCCAGATGTATATAATGGATACGCACGCAAAGTTCACAATACTACAATTGACAAGGAGAAACTTGGTTTCAACTCCCCCCCCCCCCCCCATTCCCCTCCCCTCACCCTCCCCTACTCCAGAGAAGTGCGGCAACCTACAGGCATTCTCTTTCTCGGAATGAAAACATAAATGGAAAACATCGCAGAAACCAAACAACAGAGCCGGACACACCCGTAACCTTCAGGAAAGTCGACTTGCCCAACAAACTTGAGAATGAAAAGTGACCTACTCTATTTGGGGAGACTAACGCTGAACTAACCAGGGAAAACATAAACAGGGAAGCAGAAACAGTGATTTTCATTATACAACAATTAGGAAAGACAGACAGAAGCCATTCGTTTGCCAGTCGTTGAACAATATAAAATGTGTCACGGACAGTCCATTTTCGCAAAACTGATGTCAAAAGATTGGTATGGAGATTGACAGAAGATATGTAAATGGTTTAAGCAAGTGAGCTCGGCATTCATAGTCGGTTAAAGCTGCAAGTTGTTCTGTAGTAGTCAATATGAAGCCATGGCGATAAAAGCGTGACCAGTGTGAGAATCCATTTAAGTGTCGTTTTCTCTCCACGCTAGAGAGAGAGATAGAGAGAAAGAGAGAGAGGGAGAGAGAGAAAAGACAGAAAAGAAAGAGAAAGAGAGAAAGAGAGAGAAAGAGAGAGAGAGAGACAAAGAGAGAAATAGAGAGAAAGAGAAAGGGAGAGAGAAATATAAAGAGAGAGAGAAAGAGAGAGATAAAGAGAGAGAGAGGGAGAGGGAGAGATAGAGAAAGAGAGATAGAGAGAGAGAGAGAGAGAGAGAGAGAGAGAGAGAGAGAGAGATAGAGAGGGCGATAGGCAGAGAGAACTTCATTTTAAAGAGATTAAAAATTTGGCACACAGGCATGTCTAACTTTGCAGGCTTCTTTTCTCACTTTTGGCATACATTATTTCATTTTTACACATTTCAACAGGCCACCCCCCCCCCCCCCCCCCCCCCTCAAATGTTAACGCAAAACGAACAATAGGAGTTTACATCTGTGAATGAAGAAGAAGAAAAAGAAAGAAGAAGAAGAAGAAAAGAAGAAGAAGAAGAAGAAGAAGAAGAAGAAGAAGAAGAAGAAGAAGAAGAAGAAGAAGAAGAAGAAGAAGAAGAAAGAAAGAAAGAAAGAAAGAAAGAAAGAAAGAAAGAAAGAAAGAAAGAAAGAAAGAAAGAAAGAAAGAAAGAAAGAAAGAAAGAAAGAAAGAAAGAAAGAAAGAAAGAAAGAAAGAAAGAAAGAAAGAAAGAAAGTAGGAAAGAAAGAAAGACAGACAGACAGACAGACAGACAGACAGACAGACAGACAGACAGACAGACAGACAGACAGACACAGACAGACAGACAGACAGACAGACAGACAGACAGACAGACAGACAGACAGACAGACAGACAGACAGACAGACAGACAGACAGACAGACAGACAGACAGACAGAAGAAAAAAAGCGTGTATTATTTTGTTATTTAGCAGATTATTTTTTTTTATAACTAATATGGTCAATGTAAGGCACTGATATATGTACTGGAACCATTGAGACCCCCCCCCCCCCCCCCCCCCCACCCACCACCACCACCACCCCTCGTTGCCTTTACGTCGGCGCTCCAATTCCTGATTACTTTTTCAGCGTCCAGCTTTCCCTGCTGTATACTGTGGTCACGTTTGACAATTTGTATTTTTAATTGAAAAAAAAAAAAAAAAAAAAACCCACCGGAACGAAACGAGTCCTGCCTTGTGCAGGATTATTCACCTAGAAGATTCTCTCCCAGGGCAACAAGGTAAACATTCACGGTAAAATGGTTGTCAGTCAGTCATGCTTGACGGCACACATTCTGTTCACGGTTGAAAGGTAATATGTTCCTGTTATGTCAGGTTAGTTAGTGCCAAAGTTGTATGAGGTTACTGCAAGTTGTAATTGCAGTCTTAACTTGCTTGTTGGTGTTCTTCTGGTTCTAGTTCTGTTCTCATTCTAGTTCTTCTTATTCTTTTTCTTCCGGTTGTTGTAATATTTCTTGTCTCTGTCATTTTTCTTCTTGTTTTCCTTATTTCTTTGTATTGTTCTTGTCTTTCTTGCTCTTGTTCTTGTTCCAGTTTGCGTTGTTCTTCCCCTTAATATTTAACTTCTTTTTCTTTCTTTCTTTCTTTCTTTCTTTCTTTCTTTCTTTCTTTCTTTCTTTCTTTCTTTCTTTCTTTCTTTCTTTCTTTCTTTCTTTCTTTCTTTCTTTCTTTCTTTCTTTCTTTCTTTCTTTCTTTCTTTCTTTTTTCTTTTCTTTCTTTCTTTCTTTCTTTCTTTCTTTCTTTCTTTCTTTCTTTCTTTCTTTCTTTCTTTCTTTCTTTCTTTCTTTCTTCTTTCTTTCTTTCTTTTTCTTTCTTTCTTTCTTTCTTTCTTTCTTTCTTTCTTTTTCTTTCTTTTCTTTCTTTCTTTCTTTCTTTCTTTCTTTTTTCTTTCTTTAGAGCTACTACTAAGAAAAGGGAACTCTACTTTCTTTCTTTCTTTCTTTCTTTCTTTCTTTCTTTCTTTCTTCTTTCTTTCTTTCTTTCTTTCTTTCTTTCTTTCTTTCTTTCTTTATCTTTCTTTCTTTCTTTTTCTTTCTTTCTTTCTTTCTTTCTTTCTTTCTTTCTTTCTGTCCTTCTGTCTGAATATGATGTTGTTTTCTTTCCGGCTTTGAAGAATGTTCTCGCATCATCAGCAGCTTCCAACATCTCATTTAGCGTTTGTTCTATTCTCTAACAACTTCCGGTCATTATAGCGGATAGGCACAGTGCATAGTTTAGTAATGACAAGTTTATGCTTCCAAAATAGTTGGCTGTTGCGTTTTCCCCTCATATATAGACTGAAAGGATATAGTTCCATCGCCCATCTACGAAGTTGAGTGCACGGGGCAACACTGTGAGCTGCGAATTTTATTTGGACTGTTTATCGAATGTGACGAACGTGGTTTGTGTTGTGCACTGTAGATTGAGAAAGTGATGCGTGGTCTGTTGCCACATAACTCACTGATGGTGCCTAATCTCATTAATCATAAACTATTGATCTGTTGTAAGTGTTGATTCCATCGACTATAAACTGCATTTCTAGTGTCGGACTGTTTGTGGTAGCACTGACGGCTGTCTTATGAATTGAATTTGCGTGTAAGCTAATGGATACGCTGAGACTACAGTCTGTGTCAATATTTCAAGAAGGGACAGCGAGGCACATGTTGTGTGGTTCTTGTTGGCACAGAACAACTGTGGGGTGACCCTTTTCCTACTGCGACTATCTGATTACCTGATTACCTATTTACCTGATTACTTGATTACTTGATTACCTGATTACCAGATTATATGATTACCACTGCAATTTTTCTCATCGTTTTACCTCAAAAACTGCATCATTACTGCGCCAATTTTCCTAACCGTTTCATAACTTTGTTTCCCCGTGTGGGTTCCGGGACCCCAGTGTGGGGAAAACAAAATTTGACCAACTGCCTTCCCAACAAGCATGTCGTAAGAGTCGACGAATTGAGAGCTATCTTTGAAGTCGGAGATCATCTGCCTGTAAGGCAAGGAACTAACAATCTGCACACAAGCAAGTAAGATTTGTTAAACGGATGTGCATTCAAGACTAAGGTTCTGGAAAAGGACTAAAGTCCAGAAGTGGACAAACAACCAAAACTTTAAGACAGAGTCAAAAGCCGGTAGCCGCGAAGAAGTAGGAGAAGATAAGTTAGTCTGATGCATTTTATTCCAGAGAAAAGAACAGGCCAACGTAAAGCAGTCAAACCTGACACACGATAGGTTCTTCTCGTGTCAATTACCAGCTACGCATTTTATGTGCCTGTTTTGTCACGAACATAAATATCAAACTTTAGCAGACAGCTAATCTCGAACAATAAACAAAGGGCTTGTTAGGGTTGTAAGGGCCAATACTAGTAGGTGCCGTTAGGAAAGTCTGCATCTGACAAACTTGTGGTTTCATAAGTCGGTCGAGGTTTCAACTTCTACAATAGGGTTTCCCCAGACTTGCTCCGTTCCTATGCCATCGAAAATTAAATTAAATGTCCACCACTGCCGCATTTAAAAATTGGTAAACAAATAGTCTGTCAGAGGCCAGTTCGGCTACGGGATGAGTAGGTGTGATGATGGTGAATCATCACGTATGAACGAGTTGACCCTCAGTCAAACTCAAAGCGAGATCGGGCAGTTTGACCACGGAATAAACTGTGTCGACTGAGCTGGACTAAGCCCTACGCCCCACAAGTAACACGAGTTACAGCGTGACAGAGATGAACGCTAGAGAGGAACAAAAGTCTTCGACAGAGCCTGGTCGCGGACACGTGTAGTAAGGACACTGGACTGGACAGATGTGGGACTGCGACGGTAAAACGTATCTTAGTTTGGTGACGGTTAGATAGAATAGTATTTGTGGCTAGTATTTGAGATAGGTTGTCTGATAGTCTGGTAGTCTTAGTTTAACCTTCATAGCAAACGGGTTACCCCATCTTTGCTCCGCTCCTGTGCCAACGAAAAACACACAGTATGTTTATCACAGTCCCTTGTGGAAAGATTGACAGACTGCTGTCTCAGCATATCTAGCATACACACGCATTAAAGCATACGGTAGCCACCTGAAGTGCTTATACAAACAGTCCGATAT